AGCTGGAAGCTGAGAACTGGCGACTTTGTAGTACAACTTTAGTACGCGGAGTAGCTGGGGAGCTGGACGATGAGAACTGGCGACTTGGTAGTACAACTTGAGTACGCGGAGTATTTGGGGAGCTGGAAGATGAGCACTGGCGACTTTGCAGTACAACTTTAGTACGCGGAGTATCTGCAGAGCTGGAAGATGAGAACTGGCGACTTTGTAGTACAACTTTAGTACGCGAAGTATCTGGGGAGCTGGAAGATGAGAACTGGCGACTTTGCAGTACTACTTTAGTACGCGGGGCAATCTGTGGAGCTAGAAGCTGAGAACTGCCGAGTAGTACAACTTTAGTACGCGGAGTATCTGGGGAGCTGGAAAATGAGCACTGGCGACTTTGTAGTGCAACTCTAGTGCGCGGAGCAATCTGGGGAGCTGGAAGCTGAGAACTGGCGACTTTGTAGTACAACTTTAGTACGCGGAGTGTCTGTGGAGCTGGAAGCTGAGAACTGGCGACTTTGTAGTATACAACTCTAGTACGCGGAGTATGCCGTGGAGCTGGAAGCTGAGAACTGGCGACTTTGTAGTACAACTTTAGTACGCGGATGAGTCCTCTCTATGCTGTATTTTGCAAAAACGCATGAACAACGTTTTTTCCTGCGAGACAGTTGACGGTGGCTGCTTCGCTTTGGCTCCATTGGTCGTTTCCAACTTGTTTTGTCAAAGAACATCGCAGCTCGGCGAATCAGCCTGCCACATGCCCATTTCCTATAGGTTTATTCTTTTGGAAACTTCCGCCGCCGGCTTGCCCGGGAACTGCTTGTAGCGTCCTTGCTACTAGTAGCGATGCCCGGGTTCATAATAGCTTCTTGCTCCTAGTAGTAAGGCCAGGATACCCTAGTAGCGTCCTTGCTCCCAGTAGCGATGCCACGAGCCCCTAGTAGCGTCCTTGCTACTAATAGAAAAAGGAATACTAATACCAATGGCCTCCAACCTAGAAGCGATGGCCTGGCGAAGGATGATGGAAGGTCGATATTCGTTTGCCGTTTGATTCCTCTTCCCTTTTTTGGCCCGAGGCGGTAGGCGGTAGAGGTAGTAGCTGGAGGTAGCTAGTAGTAGCTAGGCAGCTAGCACCGTACTTAAGCTACTAGTATGGGACACAGGATAGCTCGCACTATTGATTTAATTTGGTTCCTAGACTTTTAGGGAAACTGAATGCTGCTGTCAAAATCTTGCATGTGTTCTTGCCGCTTTTCGGCGTGTTGATCCAGGTGTGGAAACCTCCACACATCGGGCATTTTGAGGGACTGCACCAGAGAGTGGACATGACTATCCCAAGTGAAAACGTTTTGGAAATGTCCTTCAAGGCATCAAGGAAAGGTCTAAAAGGGCCAAAAGCAAATGCATCAAACACAGGAAAGACCCAAAATGAGTGTCAGGATCCACCTTCGCTTTCGCGACGCAATAAATTCCAGCATACTCCTATTCTCCTGTTTACCAAATCATTCGCAGCAGGTTGGAGGCCATTACTAGGGTGGAGCCAATCGCTTCTAGGTTGGAAGGCTGGAGGACATTGCTATTAGGTTCCTTTTGCTATTAGGCTGGAGGCCTTTTCAAGCTTCTAGGTTTTCAAATCATTCGCAACACTGAGGCTAGGCTCAAAGAGGCAGGGAAGAGCCCTGCGCTCGAGGAGCAGCCTCGTTCTGCGTGGAAAAGAGACGAGGTCACGACGTTTCTCGTGTCGTTTCACGGGGCCGGTCACTCGATTTCGTTTCGTTTTGTGCTTTCAGTCATTCGGAGCGATCGGACGCTACTAGGGGCTCCTGGCCTTACTGTTAGGAGCAATGTTCGCTACTAGGAGCAAAGGGCATCGCTACTAGGAGCAAGGACGCTACCACGTCATGAGTTTTGCGCAAAGAGAAATGTCATGTGATGTCCGGTTGGCCAGTGAGCACAGAACCGAAAGGTCCATGGGATCCCGTCTCTGAAGCCGTTTCTGGCACAGACATGACCTGTCGCTAGTTGCAACAGATATCTTAACCATGCCAGTCGACATCCTTTGACGTCATTGTTCAGACAACACATAGCTTCTTACTTGGCATGTTTCCAGCCTGGGAGGGAAGCCACGAGGCAACAAATCCCACACCCGTGTGAAGACATAAGTAGGGGAGGCAAAGACATTCTCTCCAGCGTTCAATAGTTGAGAGCATGCAGCTTTTGAGGTGTTTAGTTGTATATCAACATGATACAAAACCAACGACTTGTCGACCCGCGCTCGCTTTGTTTGGCAAACTCGCCTGATGCCCTGGATCATGGTCTTCCATACGTGGCTTGGAGGCGTGCCAAGCCATGCAGGCGCAGAAAGATCTAGGTCGCAGCGGCTATGCTCATGCTGCATTGATAGCTGCCGCCCGCAAGACACAGCAATGGACTCAAGCCGTACAAGCCCTGGCACAGACGCTTGGCTTTCACTTTGTATTTTCTCTCTCTCTCTCTCTTTCCCTCTATATATATAATATAAGATAATATAATATAATATATATATAATATAATATACTATAATATAATATAATATAATATATAATATAATATAATATAATATATAATATAATATAATATAATACAATATAATATAATATAATATAATATAATATATATGTACTAAAATGTTCATGTTTAGTGCTACCCCGTTGCGGGTAGCTCAAGACGGAGCATGTGATTTTTCTTCTCGCACCTGGTCTTTGGCATCCCATCTTCGTTTCAGTCTGACCCTAGTAGCGTTCTTGCTCCTAGTAGCGATGCCAGGATGCCCTAGTAGCGTTCTCGCTCCTAGTAAGGATGAAGACAAAGCAGCTTCAACTCAATGTTGTGCTGTACAGTGCAGCCATTAGCACTTGTGAGAAGGCACTTCAATGGAAGCAAGCCGTTTGCTTGCTTCAAGAAGCCGAGACGTCGAAGATTGAGATTGATGTGATCCTTTGTAGCGCAACGGTCAGTTCTTGTGGACAGGCCTCTCAATGGCAACATGCCTTGGGTTTGTTTCATTCCCTTCGAGACAAAGAATTGCAAGCCGATACTGTGGCCTATGGTGCTGCAATCGGTGCATGCAAGAGGGCAGCTGAGTGGCAACGGGCCGTGTGCCTTCTTGATGATGCCCAAAGAAACTCAGTGCAGCTCAATTCAATCACCTTCAATTCAGCCATCAGTGCAACTTGATTGATTTCACCAGTCCAACGTTTTGCAGTTTTTCCGGAATGGGTCGCATTTGTTTTTTGCGGTAAGCAGTGGCGGAGGCATGTGAGGATTGGCAGTGTGCCGTCATGGCTTTGAAGCTCATGGCAAATGTCCAGGTGAAAGCAGACTCCATTAGTTTCAATGCTGTCATGGCTGCGTGTGATGCGTGGCAGCAGGCCCCACCGTCTTCTTCTCAAGAACGGTCTTCTCAAGTGTCTTGAGAATGGAACAAAAAAGAGTCGAAATAAAAGCAAATAGTTCCTTTTCGCTTTCTTCACGATAGTGTTTATTCTTTTATGTTGTGTTTGTTTTCCTTCGATAATTTTTTTTTTTAAAGTTCACCAAACAGCCACAGCCACCGACTCGCCTGTGTCCAACTCTGTGCGGATGTGTGGAGGCTTTGGCGTATTTACGGCCCATGGGGCTCTTGCAAATCCGATCAGATCCATTCTCCTTCAGCAGCATGGTGCGGATGGGGAATCCAAGGGAAGGAAAAAGGTTGTTCAGCAAGGTATATTTGAAGACTCCCAAAATCTAGGGCTTCCCTAAAAATCTAGGAACCGAATGAATTGTGCGAGCGCTTCTTCACGTGAAGGAAGCTCCCCACCAGTGACTTTAGCTACTCTGCATCCACTTGGTAGAAGCATACTTAGTACCTAACCGCTGTTAACTGGTTAGCCTATACCTCTCCCTTTTAGCGGCTTATCCTTGAAGGAAACAAAAGGGGAAGGAAGCAAGAGTAGAAAACCCGAAAGATGTATCTTGCTGCTGCTATAAGGAAAATAAACAGAGATATCAAAAGGCGCAAGCCAACGAAAGAAATTATCCAAAAAAGCACTCAGCTAAGCCTTCAGCTTAAGCTGAGGCAGCAGCCTAAGCACCTGCAGGGACGCTTGGCAGCGAAGCTTGGCGCTCTTTCAAGAAGCATGTGCCCAGCGTGGTGCCCCCTGGCAGAGTTGAGCACAACCGGTGTTTTTCCCGAAAGCATTGCGAAGGGTTCTTCCGGAAAATCCTTTGAACACTGACACTTCGACACTTACACTTACACACTGACACTTCCACTACAGTCGCACTACATACACTGACACTTACACGCGGTAAGCTGCAGTGTAAGTATACAAGCGATGGGTACGCAAGCATGCTTTGAGCATGCAAGCATGCAATGAGTAGGCAAGTGTGAGTATGGAAAACTAGCACGGGAGATGTCCTAATGAAAAAACATTTCCCCACTTTATAATTCTCTCTTGAAGGCGGAGCGCGGGACGAACAGCGTCAACCGAAAGCGCAACCCTCTGCGGAGATCGTGCGTGTCGAGTGCGCGAAATGCAGGCGAGAGTGCGATTTGTCCGGTCCGCGCGCAACCCTCTGCGGAGATCGTGCGTGTCGAGTGCGCGAAATGCAGGCGAGAGTGCGATTTGCCGGCTGCGCGCGCAACCCTCTGCGGAGATCGTGCGTGTCGAGTGCGCGAAATGCAGGCGAGAGTGCGATTTGTCC